ACTGACAGATGGAACAGTGAATTTTCCTAAAAAATTATAATAATTAATTAATCAAATTCAACATAAAATTTACATAATAATTATTATTATATTAAAAATCACCTTTAGATAGATTATAAAGTAACTGTTCATTAGTCATAACATCAAGACTTTTAGTCTGCTCATATTGAAACTGAGGATGCTTGACAGCTGGGGTAGCACCTACTCCTCCAACAATAAAAAGATAGTCAGTTCCATCAAGTTCCAGCGACAGCATTCCACAGTTGGCTTTCTTCATCATGGACTCATCATTAGGATGCAATTGAGTCCAGCTCATGGTCAGTGTATTTAGTACATTTAAACTGTTGTAGAAACAAAAATCATGAGCACAGTGGCCAGCATAATAATAAATACTAGACCGAAAGGTGGTACAGGAGTAGCCAGCAATTCCTAACGGAGGAGTACCTCTTGTTAGGTGAGAGGACCAGCGAGCAGATGAAAAGGAAAATGTCTCAACTGTTGACATCAGTTTTTTCTTTTGAGGTGAATCGTGTGCTAAGATTATGCCAGGCTGAATCCCTCCCCACAGGTACAGTGACTCTCCTATTACTGGAGCTGAGTGACTAGCCCTCCCTTTGAATGTAAGCCTATAAGTACCTGTAATGGAGAAAAATAGAGAGAAGTAAAAAGACAGAGTGAAACCATAGATAGGGGAGGGGAAACTAACTTTGTCCTGACATTTTGCAAAAGAAAAGGCGAGGCAGAAATGCATACGATCATAGTATCTATGATACGATCGATCTCCTAGATCTAGGGGCGTGGTAACAAAGCTGTCATAGCAAAAAAAATACACGAGCCGAAAATATACCATGTCGAGATTTGCTATTCTTCAGTTTCTTCAAGTCCTATAGCTGTCCAGGGGCGTATCTAGAAATTGAAGAAGGGGGTGCTGAGGGCGCGCGAAGCGCGCCGCTATTTTAGCCACACCTACTTTTACGGCGGTAAAACCATAGATACTACCATAGATACTATATACCACTGGATACGAAACTCCTCTATGCACACATATAAAATCCCATAAGGAAACGTCATAAACGTCACATCCGGCTGTCCTCACCCTTGTTTCGCTGCATTCATGGCTGCCAGGGTAAGTAAAACAATCACAGTAACCTATTCGTTTGTTAAAGTAGCTGAATGATCCCTCAGAGGACTTTGCAAAGCCTTTATATATTGAAATAATGCTCATAAACGATAGTTTGAGTGCATATTTTAGTTCTACAATGGATGTCATAGCCTACTTGTTGTGTACATTTCACTCAAGCCACTTTTTAAGCTTAACTCTGTTGAATTAGGCCAACATTTTTTATTGTACTGATAGGTTATTGTTTACTAGTTGTAGTGGGGCTATTATTTAGAGTTTGTGTTAAGTAAAAGAGCTGTTATTTTCTAAATCTAGGTTTTTCAAGCCCCACCTTTCTAGCCAATTTTTCTTTGTAATACTTGACTTAATTGGAACTTTTTTTATATAGTTTTGTAGCTTGAGAATAGGTAGTTGTAGTGGGCCTATTCTCAAAAGGAGTGTATTTTTAGTTTTGGTGCAATTGTGTTGTCAAAATCATCATTTTTAGGTGACAAGAGATGGGAAAGTCATGCATTGGTAGACTGCATATACTAAAAGAAAAGGAAAGTTTCAGCAATTATAATGCATGATAAATGTCAAGTTTTATTGTATTATTGTACATAAAATCACACTTTTATTAGCAATAATAATACTTTTTATCATTGTTTTATTTTTATTCTGAATAAAAACGTAATATGACGTATTTCCGGTGAAACAAGCCTCAGAACATCCGGTCGGGCCGTGTTTCATATCCAGGGGTATATAGTATCTATGGTTTTACACTTATACGCTTTTTAAAAATGACTAT